TCACAGTTTAGTTTAATGAATCCGATTCAGTTGATATTCCAGACTTTAAGCAAATGTAACCTTTATGGATAACACATCCTTCAGGTTTATCAGTTCCACAAACCAAAATTTTTTAAGGATACTATTGTATGTTTTCTTATTTATTCCCAACTTCAAGAATGCCAGTTTATGTTTGAATTTATGTGAGGGAATTCTGTTCTTATTAATGCAAATAAATACTGATGTTTATTAGTCACTCGGCACAGATGAAAGACATACATGCATGAATGTTGGATTTGATGATGAAGTGAAGCCAGCCTTGTCATCCAAGAAGACGCCGACCACTACTGCACATGTGGCTTCAGGGTCTTCGCCACCATTTGGTCATCAGGGAGAGGTCAGTAAAATCCAAAGTGGCGACAAACTTGACAACGTACTTGTTGATCGTCCAGGCTACAGTCAAGATCTGCCCGACACGGAGGATGAAGAAGATTATGATGCCCATCCTCAGATAGCATCGCAGGAAGCACCAGGTCATGCTGACATTAATTACTACAATCTGGGTGATGTCAGACCATGTCATGCTATCCCCGCGTCCTCATTTGCAACGCGAGTGGAAGAAATGGAAGATCACCCTGAAGTGGCTGAAGAGAATTTCAAGGTGAGTTTAGGAAGACACTGTCGTGAACATCTTGGACCTGAACATCTATATTACCGTGTTGAACAGTATCATTATCATGTTGGTATCCATATCTTTTCCTCCTTCCAGCATCTACCCGATGGTTTCATGCATTCCTATGAGGAATCTCAAAAGCCGAAGAACAAAGGGAAGAACAGGTTCAGAGGATATTACCCATGTAAGTGATTATTGTATTCATAATTATTTCAAATACGAATAACATATACGAATTTATGTACAATATTTCTGCTTTCTGCAGATGACTACAATCGGGTGATATTGCATGACGCTAATGATGACGGTAGAGGAGACTATATCAACGCAAGCTACTTGGATGTGAGTTAGAACATTATCATATTCACAGGATGGTCACTTTTGTCGAATGCTAACGTTTCTAAAACTGGAATACTTCATAGGTTAATTTTTCAGCTGAAGAATGTGACAAATATTCTTCACATCTTACGGAGACTCATTCTAATTGCTCTTGTTTGCACAATACATTAGTGTTTGTATTAACAGTGTGTTCTGTTTTTCCGCTGTCTTCGTCCAGGGTTACAAGTCAGAGAAGCGTTATATAGCAGCACAAGGTAATGCCAATAGTTGATCAGTCAAGAAGACGTAACTTATGAGTTGAAATACCAGCATGTAAATGAATAGAAGTTAGTTATTACCTTCCTTTGCCTTCCTTTGTTATAACTATTGATTTGTTGAGTACCAAGTGATTTTTCACACAGGCCCATACAAACCGGATGTACTAGTTGACTTCTGGAAGATGATCTGGCAGGAGGGATGCAACACTGTTGTCATGGTAACAGGACTGGTGGAAGCATGCAAGGTATGAACTTGGTTTTGTGAGGTATCTGAATTTAAAGAACAATATTTTCATATTTTATGGCGAGTTTGCAAGCGAATTTAAAACATTGCTTGTTTGTGTGTTCCCCTGTTCATACATGTTCTCTATCTTACAGATGAAGTGTCTACAGTACTGGCCAGAGAAAGATACCGTGACATTTGGTGACATCAAAGTAACTCTGGCAGCTCGAACACAACTGGCAAACTACACTATCACCAAGCTGGCTGTTCAGAATGAGAAGGTAGATTATTGGTGTGCTAAAAGTGATACATTATTGGTAAATTGTTTGTTATATCTAACCGACACATCAGATAAATACAATGTGATACCTTACACACTAACTACGCACCGGTGCACTTCCCTTAACGAGGATACTAAAGCATTAGCATGTTAAATGGAATAGTAAAATATATTGTTAACAACTCTTTCATAGCATATTAACATTTTGAATAGAGTATTCAAGAATACATTATCATTGTCAACATTTTGTTATCAGCATCCGTCCTTGAGTGATGCATAATCATTTATGACGACAGGAAGGCAAGAAGCGGGATGTCAACCACCTCCACTTCACCAGCTGGCCAGACCATGGTGTGCCGGACACTGCTGCCCTGCTGGACTTCATGTGGAGGGTCAGGGTCATATCTGGACAACAAACTCAGCCGATCATAGTCCACTGCAGGTTTGTTTCTCAATAAGTACTAAATCAATAGCCTTTTGAGGCGCAAATTTTGAAAAAAGTATCAGTTGTTACACAATCAACTTTATAATTCGTTGAATTTATGTATTGGTATATTAGGTATTGTTATGAGGCACTGCTATTCATTGTGAAACAGTGTTGCAAGTGTGTTACCATTGTTTCTCTTAAGATGCAGTGATGTGCTAGTTACGATATGTAGACTGGGAGTTAAACGTGGTCTGGACATTTGTTGAGCATATTTCAGTTAGAAGACGTTCTGGTTTCTGTTTATATGATTAGAAGGGGCGCACTCTTTCCTCAACCAGCGGTTTGGAGATCATATTGCCCCTGGAATCTAAGCCTAGGCCTATTTGGGAAGCGTGCTTTTCTGTTACATTGACACAATATCTGTACTGCCGCTCTATTTTGTACCACCATTGCCATTCCTTTGTTTGTGATGTGCAAAGTGACTGATTTCAAATTAACTTACTGTTTCCACCTCATATATCTAATGTAGTTTGGGGCACTGTGTAAATGATCATAACAGTGACCTTGTTTGTATAAACTCAATGATGCAAATAAATAGAGGGTTTAAAGGGACCTATCTATACACATAGAAAAAACCGCCAGTGATATGTCATATCTATTATACAACGTTTTGAAGAATGAGTCCTTGTATTTGTTACTGTTTATCCGCTTCCTGTTAAGTGCTGGTATAGGGAGAACAGGGACCTACATCACCATCGAAAGCCTCGTGGAGCAGGCAAAGGCAGAGGGCGTTGTGGACGTCGTCAGCTTCGTCTCCAACATGAGAGGGCAGAGGAAGAAGATGATACAGACAAAGGTACTTGTAAACAAAGCAGTCGCTCACCAATCGTTCTTAATACAAATAGTATAGCGTATTGATTTGTCATTGTGGATAACTTTTAAACATAATACCTTCTGTACCCAGGAGCAGTACCTATTCATCTACCAGGCGTTGGCAAGGGCTGTGTCAGAAGGGGACACAACTCTTGATGACACCACCATTAGACACCTTGACCTTGATCAGGTGTTAGATGTTACTATGGGCAACAGGACAGTACAACAACATCTTGAGGTAGGCATACTTATTGACAAAAATCCTTTTGAGATTGGAGCAGAAATCAGCCACAAAATGTGTCCGACCTGTCAATGTTGATACAAACTGTTGACTGACAATTGACGGTAAACCTGTCATTGTTGTTCACTGTTCATGTGTTCAATGCAAATGTTCACTGGCAAGTGACGGTATATATGCACTGCATATTTCCAGATAATCTTCACACTAGTTGACTTCAGAATTGACTATAGTCATATGTAACCTATAGGTGTCTATGACATGATTAAGCGTGCAGAATCTACACAAAATGCAGTACTTAACGAGATTATCTTCTTCATTTAAGATTTTAGAACGCAGCGGTGGAGGTGAGTACAGTATTATCAGAATTGTTATAGTGGCAACATATTTCATGAGAGATTAAGCTAAACTAATAAAGGTGTGTTATAACTGGTTAAAAATGATTTAGGTCTGCATATCATACCCAAACACATGTATAAATTCTACTTTCGAGAATAGTCTTCGAGTTGGAATTGACAATACAAGTTAAACTACCTTTCAGGGCATCCCAAGGGAGCAAAGATCACAAGCGTGCCTGTAAGTAGGAAGCACACACCACCACATTCATTTTATTATATGTCATGTATTTTGTAGTGAAATAACATCTATTTTCCCAAATACATTATCGATATATCACTCCAGCCAAATAACATTGTATGCTTTAACACCTTTCTTTCTAAGCCGTGATTTACAGACGAAGATGAATACAATCTTGCAGGAAAATCCATAAACATAAATCATTTGTATTTTTCAGCGCCCTTTATGAAAATGGACGACCATTATAAGCCAGTATCACAATTAGACATGTTGTCTAGTAAAATGGGACCAATGATACTAATAATGTTCTTTTTAATACTCGTTTCTCTTTCGTAGTCGTATGCATGTCTAAATGGCTTCTTCATTGTGTCGTCACCTCCGGATAAAGAGGAGATGTGGAACCAGGTTTACAACAGTGACTCGCACACTTTGATAACCTATGCTGCAGATGTTCTGGTTAGTATATATGCTTAACCTGATATCAGGAGAAAGGTATTATAGAGAAGATAACAGGGGCCCATTTTTATTGCAAACAATATAAACTGTATACAACTTTGCTTCATAAACACGAGATAGAAAGCTAGATCCAGGTTAATTGTATGTTTCTTTCTCAAGGACTATTTCGTCATGAAAATGTACAGAGGAATGTTTTTGTCGTCAGTTGTTTTTCTGATGAACAATTATAACAACAAGAATCTGACGTTATTTGATGATTTTGCCACCTGCAATTTTAAATGTAATTTTTGAGCACGTATGACATCTAAATTGAAAGTACTGGATGAGAATGTACAACCCGTGCATGCAGTAAAAGGTGGCCAGGCCCTCTGATTTGGTTCATGCATGTTATTAATAGATCGATGCTCATGCTATCAATCACTGTTTCGATCAGACTCGATTGTTATTAATAATATACTGCCGTCACATAGTTTGAATATTGTTACTTGCAGAGCAAAAGAAAAAGCACACACACAAGTTAAAAGTAAACTGCATTTCTATTATCTTGGATTGGTAAAATATGCCCAACGTTATCACTTTAACGTTGTAAGCACGAGAATAATCTATTTCCTGTTGATATTAACGTGATATAGGGTTCACGATCTAATTGATATTCAGCCAAATTTACAATTCCTTCCAGGATTATCTCCCGTCGGTAGATGCTCATGTTGCCACCACCAGGTTTGAAGTGAGCATTTCCAAGTCCTCAGCACTGTCCGATGATATCCTTCTAAACACAGTGGAGCTGGCACTAAAGGTTACTCATTCATATTAAGATCATAAATACTCATTTATTGTGTGTGCATCAACTCATGAATGATAATGTCGAGACTCGACTTATATGTGTAAATGTTTCTACCAACACTAGAACCCGTGGAATCAAACACGGACCTTCGGCGTGACGATCGATCGCATTAACCACTTGGCTGCTAGTGTGATATAATGGCACAGACTTACATATTACAGACCGTGGTGAATGACTGGGGTATTGATGAATACAGTGTTAAAAACATTCTCTTACTCACGAGCATGAACATAAACACATGAAAAATAGAAAGATTAGCAAGTAGAAACATGTAACCATTTAATGTTATAGGATAACGATGACACTACTGTCATTCAACATTACCACATCACGGGAAGTGCAAGGGACCCCAGTTTCAACTTGCTGACTGACAACTTCCTCACGTGGACAAAGGATCCCACACGAGGATTGTGCACCGTTGTCACAGAGTACGTACATCCATATAAATGTAGGTGTTAATTATCTATAGATTTGTAGAGTCTATATAGGCAAAGCACCGCCATAATGCTGGAATATTGCTGAGTACGGCGTCGGACAACAGACAGCAAAGCGCCTTGCCTGTTAGTTGAAATATCAACGTCAGCATGACTGAAGGGAAAAAAACAATTGCTATGTCTGCGCATGCCACATAATAAAAATATCACTGCAATAGATTGTGAACTGAACTGTAGTTATTTCAATGCATTCGTTTATCACAGGTCTCCGGAGGAGTTTCGTTTCGTGGTGCTTCTACTAAACATTGCCAGCAGACTGCAGGACGATGGTAGAGTGGACGTCATTAACAACATGCGACAGCTCTACACACGTCTTGCAGGTCCGCCATTTACAGAGGTAAACTGAGACGAGAAGTGTGTGTCGTGTTATCATGGATTGTTATACATCAATGTTAATTTTACGTTCCCCTTGAGCATCAACTATATTCAATTTAGTTTTGCAAGTTTTTAAACAGATTGAACAGACTCAATTCTGCAAATATACTGACGATTTCAATGGTATTCAGGAGAAATTAGGTTGCATCTGTTCAACAATATGTTGCAGGTTTGTTTTACTTTGTCGTCTTCTAACAAACAACAAGGGTTGGTATTTGTTGATTTCAGGTCTTTCTTTTTCAGACTGACGTGAGACTCTGTCTGGAGTTCAGTCGGCGGAGAGCTGAGACACATGGAGTATACGCCAACTTCTGACGCCATATGTAGATTAAAGCACCACATGCTGTATACGTGGATTCATATCTTAACATGTACTCAGATCTGAATTATTGCTCAATGAACAATTGTATGTGCCAAGGTCAGATGTATGATACAGAAAAGATGTTCACATAACTTGGACAATATACCAGCTACGTATTTCGTTAATATGAGTCTTAATCCAAAATTTTTTCTTATGCTTATTCACAGATGTACAGAATCATTGGTTAATATTGGCCTTGCTGCAAAATGAATTGAATGTTGTTAGTTTTGAATTAATAAATGCAGTTAAATATTTTGCAATTGTATTGCCGGAAACATCATCACCTCATTGAGACTGTAAGTGCCTGTATAGCTTGGCTTTCATCACATGAAGATTCTTGCTTTAAGTAACTACCATATAATGACATTCTTCGTTGTTCCTAAGTGAGTGCCGATTAAAATGTATTTACTCGTTTTAGTTTCTTTTTGTATCTATACTTTATCTTGTCACATTGTGAATTGATATTGCACTGTTTTGAAAACCTAGTATATTTTATTAATCATATCTTCTTGACTATTTCACTTGTACAGGGTTTTGTACACATCGTCTACGTAAGCAAAGACAAATACATGTTGTATCTATGCATGACAGATGTGAGTTGTACCATTCAGCTATTCACATTTTACCATTTACAGCCTTAATCCTGACTGTCGTCCAACTAAACAAGTACCATGTCCAGGGGAACGCTATTATCCCTTCGTCTGTGAATTTACAGATACATCTGCATTACAATTATCTGTATTCATCTTTCCTCTCCTTCCCCTATTTATTTCTTACTATCTGCATGCACGCACACATACACACACACGCACGCACGCACACACACACACACACACACACACACACAAACACAAACACACACACACACACACACACACACATACATACACATGTTAGTCAATCTAGGTATATTATCCACTAAGGACTAGACAAATTCGGACTGACTCAACGTATTCTTCGTCTTCAGTCTGAGCTGTACCCGTTGACATCAGCAATAGAAACTTCGAACTCAACAGTATTCTGGTAGAGGATCACGACCTGTAAAACACTCTTAAACAACGAATGCATGCGTGTATCATTGTTGAATACAGACATAAGTAGACAATACATCTGTAAGAACATTTGTGAAAATACTTTTCATCTAACATTAACTATATTATCTAATGATTCACGTTCTAGATATATACACAAATAAACTATGGCTAATCATGATATCTTTGAGTATTTTTTGTATTGCACTGTGAGAGTCGTTATGAAAGATAGCACCAGTTCAGTGTGAGTGTAGTGTTTACTGACCCGGATGACTCGACAACCGATTCGTGGGTTCTCCTGTATCAGGCTTACTTTGATAACTCACATCATTTAGATGTCCCTGTCGCTTTTAGTTTCATGTCAGCGACATCGCTATTTGTGTATAACTTTTCATTTTGTCTGGGAATTGCTTCAGATAACTCTTCAAGGCACAATGATTATTTTCACTAGTCTCATACAACTTTCCGAGACATCAAATTTATTTCATTCAAAAACAACTATCTACAACCTTTATTTTCGAGTATGCGGCAGATTAAATAAATCAAGTTTCTATTTCTAGGTCAAAAACATATTCTCCAGCTTTCTCAGCAACTAATGTATTTAGTCCTGAGTCCCATCAAATTGCCAAACTGCCGGGCTCTCTCTGTCGTTATATATATGGCCGCCTAACGCATTGGAAACTTGCGCACGATGCGTACACGTATGTCACGGTACAAAGTGCAATGGTTTATCCTATTTATTTTGGAAGAGTTTAAGTCATGAACAGTAAGATAGATTAACTTGCTGTGTTGTCGTTCTAATATGCATGAGGCTGTCACGTTTTGACTGGTAATAAACTGAAACAATAACTCCAACTGTGTGAAGTAAACATAAGCCACAAACAGCAGTGTGTGTGTGTTTGTGCGTGTGTGTGTGTGTGTGCATGCACGTGGAAACGTGTACATCTATAACCATGACATCGTGATGTCCCGAAATGATATTCAAGTAAAATTTCAAGCAATCTACTAAGGCTCAACAACTGTCAACTTGACAAACATCAGTGAAAAGCATCAGATTTAAATGTACGTTGATCAGTGCTGTGTGCATATTGTTCGCGTTGTTCCACGTGCGATGTGGTATGGTCACGAAATCTTCGTTGATACAAAAACATTGATCACTGAATTATTTCAAGAGTAAAAGGCCGGCAACAACATGGGTTGTTTTAAGTTGATGGAAATCATTGATAAGATGCAAGTGGACACGGTATAATAGAAGATAGACTACTTAATAAATTGCAGGATCAGTTATGTACAGTAAGATAGGTTAACTTGCTGTGTTGTCTTTCGAATATCCATAAGGCTGTGACGTTTTGACTGCTAAGAAACTGAAACAATAACTCCAACTCACAATTACAACAACAGCAACAACAGCAACAACAACAAAAACACATCACGGCAGCATAATTAACTTCAATGTCAACAGAACAAATATATCAAAACAGATAGATATGCTGATGTTAATCTAACCACATAGCTGGAATATTGCTGAGTGCGGAGTTAAACAACAAACAAATAAACAAACAAACCTGCTATTTCAGATCATTCCTGCACGTAAGAATAGTTTTGGAGGGTCATGCTAATTCAACACAAACTGACATGAAAGTTCACGAAAGCTGTTAATCAAAGCAAACTACTTGTTTTCGAATCCAAGCCTACATTATCAATTATCAATTTTCCAAATGCACCATATCTTCCAAGTATAATTGTGTATCAATAAGGACTATGAATTACATGTTTATTACATGCGCATATAAAAACTTTAAGACAATGAAACATGAATAGATTGTGTCACCAGTCATTTCTATCCAGATCAGAGAGTGTCATCCAGTAACAGAAGTTAACCAGCTGGAATAAATTCGAACTCCAATGTACAGTCGGCCATTATTATTTACAGACATGTAAATAACCACAGTTCTGTTGATAGACCAGGAAGCCAAATGCTGAATTATAAAGGTTCAGTCAATCATGCTTCTCCTTTTCAAACTCAACATAACTCGTCTGTTGTGGTGGATAGATAAACTGGCTTATGTGCAACGGTTTACTGTAAAGCAACAAGTCATTGTAAAGCAACAGGCCATTTATCGCTTGTGCACATGTTGGGCTATAAACCCAGGCTGTCTCAAATGTATTACTTACCCCAATAATGAAATGACTATATTGAATTATGACAATTTTGTACTTAAAGCTAATCGCAGTCCATCGTGCACTTTGATCATGGGCAACGGGAGTGCCAGTATGAATCTTTGGCCGCCATAGTGATCCCACCCCACAAAGTTAAACGGGATTTGGTAAGTCATAGTGATCCCACCCAACAAAGTAAAACGGGATTTGGTAAGTCATAGTGATCCCACCCCACAAAGTAAAACGGGATTTGGTAAGTCATAGTGATCCCACCCCACAAAGTAAAACGGGATTTGGTAAGTCATAGTGATCCCATCCCACAAAGTAAAACGAGATTTGGTATGTCATAGTGATCCCACCCCACAAAGTAAAACGACATTTGGTAAGTCATAGTGATCCCACCCAACAACAGGGGATGGGCTTTGACAAATCGTAGTCATTAATCCCCACAACACGACCCATCCCCTGACAAATCTCTCAGGATGACACTGGATTGAAATTCACACCTATGACGGAAATGCAAACAAAATCGGGACTCATCTGAAAGCATAACCCACTGGTGATCAGCAACGGTGACCATTAATACACAGTTTTCATGTATGCACAATTAAATCTACGATAAACGTATAAGGAAATCGCAAGCTATGACATAAATTTACAACAAACTTGAACATGTTTTAAGTTTTGATGTATAATGATAAAATATTAAACTATTGACAAATTCCCTTCAAGGGGAATTTGGTTACGGCATACTACAATTTAATGAGACAAACCCATTTTCTCAGACTAGTGGGAAGTCATTAATAGAAACGGGTAAAACAAACTATGATCCTGAAGGTTATGCAAGATAAAACTTGGTTAATATGTAAAATGTTTCTGCACACCCGCGAACTAAACGGATATATTTAAGTCCAAATATAAGCCATAATGTGAAACCTTAAGTGTATCACATGAAGTCAATAATGTTTCCCTTACTCACTGTATGCACCATCCATTTCACGAGATGTGTTGTCAATGTTTTCATACATTTGTGTTCCGACAGATTCGGACAAATTATTTGATGTTGGGGCATGGGCTTCTGAATCTGTGTTGCCAGACTTAATGGTGCAATATGTCACTCCTGTGTTCTTGGCGTCATGTGGAGATTCAGCATGGAGACTGTCATATATCCTAGTTTCAGTGCCAACGTCATCACTGTTCTGTGATTGGTTAGTCCGAGCGTTCGATGCACTGGTTTGGGGTGATTCCGATGTCTTGTGTGGTCTTCTGGAATGTAAGGGCATTCAGAGCTTTAGGACAGGAGGTACAAAACCACATTATTTTCCGACTCTAGATTAATTATTTTAAATATTTCTATTGTTATATAAGATAGATTTTGTGACTTAGTCGCTCATTTACCTATTCCTTCTCCACCAGACAACGAGACAGACGACAACAGCACCTACGACAACACCAACTACGAAGGAAAGTACCACAGCAACAGCCAGATCACCAGCGTCATATCCCTTGGCTTGTAGAACCCTCGCCTCTTCTGAATACATAAAAAGAAAGGACACAAGTTGTATTTATGGCTGAAATAGTTCGTGTCATTTTCCACCAAAGCGGTCAGCCCCCGTGTCCTAATTTCATAGCAAAGTCACCGATAATCTTTTCAACATTTCCGTATGATTGATAGTATTTAATTTGTTAAATGTTTTAGATTATTCCTAGGGACGCAATGCAGTGTTGATATATGAATGTTATAACTCTGAGTTGTTTTCCAGAATGACCACCAAACATTTATACAGTCGCGTTTTGTCTTACTGACTCATACCCACTATGGTAGTCTCCTGTTGCGTGTGCGTTCTTGTGGTAATGTGAGACATACTTTGTCTCTTATCATAACTCTGCGCAGAGTGGTGATCCTTAGTTGTACCAGACGGCCATGATCGATTGTTTGAAATACTTTTAAAAGTGACATTGCACCTCATCATCTCACTCCACTGACGACCTACCATCTTTACCTGTACAGTCGTTCAGTGTCCACCCAGTCTCACATCCAATGTCACAGCCGCCAGTTGAGTTACAGGAAGAGCTCCTTCTACAGTGTCTGGAGGCGCAGGCTTTGTCACAGTTAGCTCCGTAATGTTGGCTGTCACATTCTGGAAAATTACCATATAAACTTAAAACTGTCAAATGCCTTGCACCTAAAGTATGAAACATGACGCAACTGATGTCCATAGCTTCCGTTTGAGCACACTGTGGAGAAATTACAAATGACATGAGCATATATCACAGTGTAATGCGTATTTATTGAACACTGTTACACACACACATGTATTTCATGCAATTAGATATGGTGCCTTTTCAGGTATGTATTCTGATCGTTTTCATGTATGAACAAGCCTATTTCATATTAGTTTTGTTAGAAACAAATGACACTGAAACAGAATAACCATGCTTCAGGCAAAATGTACAAGTACGAGTCGCAGAGTAATCACGTGACTCGCTGCACATGAGAGTTGTGTTGCACGCTATTCTACAGATCATGTTCAAACGTTTCATTGCCGTGTGCAGCACAACACGAAATGATAAAGACTTTTCTCAATGTGTCACTAATGTGTCACCTTTCTAATGTTGTTGTGTATATGAATAATTACTACATGGATTATAATACATATTGAGTATATATTCTAATCCCTATTCAATCTTGGTTTATGTGCAGAGTACATCATTGTATGATAAAGCTAGGTTTTGTATGATCGTACGATCATCGATTTTAAAGCTTGAAAACAATGTTGAAGTTTGTCTGTCAAACGTAAATAGAGATGTCTATAAAGATGTTCACCTCCTCTGCAGTCTTCACCCATCCATCCTGGTGCACAGCCAGACACACAAGCCCCTCTTGTGTGATCACACGGCGAGTTTCCTGCACACTTCCTGTCAGAACAAGAGTCGCTGCAGTTCTGCCCATAGCTTCCACTTGAACACTCTGTGGAGAAATCGATCACAATGTCATGAACATCTTGCAATATGTCC